CAAAGTGGGAGCATTCTGAGGTCTTAAATGTAATTTGAATCTTCATAACGATATATTTATCTCTTTGTGGGGAACAGGGGGTGCTGGGGATTGAACCCAGGGGCATTCAACCACTGAGCCACATGCCCAGCGCTTTTTTTATATTTTATTTAGAGACGGGGTCTCGATGAGTTGCTTAGAGCCTCATTAATTTGCTGAGGGTGGCTTTGAACTTGTGGTCCTTCTGCCTTAGCCTCTAGAGCCACTGGGATTACAGGCATATGCTCAGGGATACTTTTATCTCTTTAAAAGACAGCATGGAGTCAGGTGTGGTGGCGCACGCCTGTAATCCCAGCAGCTCAAGAGGCTGAGGCAGGAGGATAATGAGTTCAAAGCCAGACTCAGAAAAGGCAAAATGCTTAGTGTTGAGACCCTGTCTCTAAATAAAATACAAAATAGGATTGGGGATAGGGCTCAGTGGTCAAGCGCCCTTGAATTCAATCCCCAAAGACAGCATGATCCTTAAATGCCAAATGAAGTTTGGCTTGTTTAACTAAATTATCTTCTTTTTATTTCATTTGATTTTATATCAGACTCTAAAATAATTTTTAAATTTGCAATCCAATGCCATTAAAAAAATTGAATCAAATGTTTTGTTCAAAATCTATAAATATATATAGGGTCAATATGCTAAGAAATAATCTCCTCTTTTCCTACAGAATTTATATAATATAGATTACCCAGCCCTATAACACATTCCTTTTTGGGAAAGATACCTGTTCAAGAAAAGATGCACCTCCCGGCCCCAAAAAAGAATATACACAAATTGAAGAGAATTTACTACTAATATTCTCACTAAAGTATGTGCTTACTAAAAAATGCATTTAGGGTTGAGCAATTCGACATACACAGGAGAATCACAAATTTAAGGCCAGCCTGGGCAACTCAGGGAGAACCTACCTCAAAAATTAACTTAAGATAAAATATAATAAAATATAATTTTAAAAGAGGGCAGGGTAGAGCAACTCTGGGTCTGATTCCAAGTATCAAAAAAAAAAAAAAAAAGAATGCATTTAGAAAGGAGATTGAACTAAGAAGACAAATAAGAAGGAATAGTGCTTTAGAATTGTTTTTAAAAGAAGGAGTAGCAGGGCTAGGGTTGTAGCACAGTGGCAGAGCACTCGCCTCACATGTGCAAGACCCTCGGTTTGATCCTCAGCACCACATAAAAAAAAAAAATAAGTGAAATAAAGGTATTGTGTCCAACTACAACTAAAAAATAAATATCAAAAAAAGGAGTAGCAAACAAAGAAATAGTTATTAACTATCACTATCTACATAACACAATAATAATAACTGATAATTGAAGCATATGTAAACAAAGTGATGCTAAAATATAAAATGGGAAACAGGCATGTGGCACATGCCTGTAATCCCAGCAGTTCAAGAAGCTGAGACAGGAGAATCAAAAGATGGAGGCTAGGGCTGGGGACATAGCTCAGTTAATAGACTCTTGCCTCGCATGCACAAGGCCCTGGGTACAATCCCCAGCACCACCAAAAAAAAAAAAGTTGGGAAGTCTGCCTCAGGAACTTAGCAAGACCTACCTTAAAATAAAAAGGACTGAGGATGTAGCTCAGTGGTAAAGGGCCCCTGGGTTCAGTCCCCAGTACTACTACTAATAATAATAATAATAATAAAAGATGGGAAGTGATGGTGATCAACATCAAAGCATCCTAAAGTCCTTGTGATGTTTGGGAAGAAAATAAAGATACCTGATAACTCTAGACCAAGTTTAGATTAAACAAACAAAAAGCCTTAGGATAGGCCTTGTCAAAACCCTGGGTTCAATACCTAGACTACAAATAAATAAAAACAAATAGATAAATAAATAAATACAAAAGCAAAACTTGACAGAATTACAAGGGAAACTAATAATTCTATAGTCACAGTACAAGTGTGTTGAAACACTTTTATCAGAATTGATAGATCAGTCAAAAAGTTAATAAAAAATTCGTTTGAGCTAATGCAAACAGACCTATCAATACAACAGTTAAAACACAAATAAATGAGTTAACAGAAATTTACCAAAGACTAGGTACAGCTTAATAACAAAGACATGATTTTGTAAAGGTTTGTTCTCTGACCATGGTGAAGTTAAGAAACATTAATCTGGGCTGGGGTTGTGACTCAGTGGTAGAGCACTTGCCTAGCATGTGAGTCAATGGGTTTGATTCTCAGCACTATATAAATAAGTAAAATAACGATCCATTGATAACTTTAAAAAAATATTGAGGGAGGGAAGGAGGAAGACTGATTCATCTATCAGGGATGTAGGCACATATCTGTAATCCCACCAACTTGGGAGGCTGAGGCAGGAGGATTGTGAGCTTGAAGCCAGCCTTGGCAACTTAGCAATACCCTGCCTCAAAATAAAAAATAAAAGGGCTGGGGGTATAGCTCTGTGGTAGAGCACCCTTGGGTTCAATCTGTAAGTATGGGAGTGGCGAGGGATGAAGAAGAAACATTTATCTTATGAAAAAAGGCAGACAATCTAAGCATGCAACTCAGAAAGATTTTTTAAAGTACAAAAGAGTAAAGAAAATAGAAAAAAAATACTTAAATGACCCAAAAATAATGAATCAGAAGATAAAGACATACTAAAAAAAGATCAATAAAACGAAAAGCTTATTCTTTGAAAAGACAAACTTCTAGGAAAATGATCAAGAAAAGAGAAGGTGATGGGAGAAGGAGAGACACTAATAATACATAAAGTAATACATAACTACCCTCCACCTTCCTACCCTGGGTAGTGGGGATGGAACCTAGAACCTTATGCATGCAGAAAAAGTACTTTAACACTGAGGTATATCCCCAACTCCAAATAAACAATATAAATAAAGCCAAGTTTTTAAAAACAAAAAAAAGTTGGGAAAAACTTAATAAATCTGAAAACTTATACAAAATAAATAATTTCCTTTAAAAATTAAATTTACCAAAACTGACTGACAAGTGAGGAATGACTTTTTAGTTTCTAACATGTTGTGGTTATGGATATGAGTTGTATTTACTCAGAAGAGGAAAAGCCAAAAAAGAAGGATAGGAGCAAGTTGGATGTAGCTGTAGCTGGATTTTCAGTGTTTGTAGGGAGGGGTTGGTAGTGGCAGCAGGGTTGGTGCACAAGTCATAAATTTAATTTTGAATATGTTGAAATGGAGGTGCCTTTTAAGATATATAAAGCATGCAGTTGGAACTATGGATCAGGGGCTCAGGAGACATATGGACTGAAGATAATATTTGGGAGTTACCTGTATTCAAATGATAATTAAAGCCACAGGTGTGGCTAAAATAATCCAGGAAAATAAGAAACACATTGGTTCTCAAAGTATGGTCCCTGAACCAGGAACTTCAAGATTACTTTAGAACTTGACAAAAATGCAAATTCTCAGGCTGTACCTTGGATCTACTGAATAAGAAATTCTGAGAATAGGGCCATTCAATCTGTGTATTAATAAACCCTCCAGTAATTCTGATGTAAACTACAACTTGAGAACCACTAGTACAGAGTGAGAAGACAAGAGGGCTTGGGGCCTTGTCTTGAAAATTGCAGTATTTAACAGAGAAGGATGGCTAAGAGAAGACACAAGAGAAGGGGAAGAAGAATTAGGGGGGGTTCTTCAAAAGAAGAGATTTGAGAAGTATAGTGCCAAATACTACTGAGATTTGAAGATGATTATTCCAGAAAGAACTGGATTAGGCTGAGAAGTGAGCAGTTAAAACAATAGACAGTATGCACAATTCTGAGCAGTTTGATTATAAAGCAGGCAATAGAGATGGTGAAGTTGACAGAGGTTGACAAGTAAAGGAAAAATCCTTCCTCCCTCCCTCCCTCCCTTTTTTTAAAAACAGGACAATAATAAGCAGGACAAACTACTGATGGAAGAATCTGCCTGAGAGGGAGAAAGTGACTAAATGACATACCAAGGCAGCAATTAAGCTGTCTGCCTCAGCAGAGGGAGCATTTTGTTACTGACAATGTTTACAACTGCTGCACAAAGTGATAATAAAAAGAAGACCAACCAAACATGGTGGCACACACCTATAATCCGAGCAACTCAGTAGGCTGAGGCAGGAGAATTGCAAATTCAACATCGGCCTCAGCAAATTAGGGAGGCCCTATGCAAACTCAGGGAGACTCTATCTTTAAATAAAATATAATAAGGGCTGGGGATATGGTTCAGTAGTAAAGTACCCCTGGGTTCAATCCCCAGTACAAAAAAAGAGAGAGATAAGCCTTGTTTAGAAGTCAAGGTATGGCAACCCCTTTGGAACTAAGCACAAAAGTGACTCACGTCTTTTAGATATTTAAAAAACTTGTCAAGGGGCTGGGGTTGTGGCTCAGAGATAGAGCACTTGCCTAGCATGTATGAAGCACTAGGTTTGATTCTCAGCACCACAGATAAATAAATGAATAAAATAAAGGTCCATCAACAACTAAAAAAAATATATTAAAAAAATAACTTGTCAATCTCTTTACAAAAGCAATAAGTCAGGCTGTGAATTAATCCCTATGTTTATTTGGGGTCCTGCCCCTAAATCCTCCAGTCATACAACACTTGAGGTACCATATAATTCTAGATCTGTTCTTCCTCCCTATCTTGCTCTCCTTGTTCTCCATCAAAGTTTGTGCTCTGGCATAAATAAGATGACGTTTTTCCATGGCCTGGAATCTTCTGCCATTGAATCATCTCAGTATTTCACATACTATCACCCAAGCTCTGCGTAAATGACTTGATGACTGTGTGTATTTTTAAAGTGCCTTGCACATGGCAGATGCTCAATTAAGATTCATTTCCTCCTTTCTTTCCTTCCTTTTTTTCCTCTCCCTTGGTGAGAAAGGGAGAAAACAAACAAAACAATAAAAAACAAAACAGGAACAAATTAAAGGTATATTTCTTGTAAGACAGCATCCATTTGGTATAAAAATACTGAAAAAGTTAATACCATTTCTCATCACCTACCTTGTGTCTGTGGGCTGTAAGGAGACAGGAGTTTGGACCTCTTCTTTTCATATCCCTTCTGTGTGATGTCCCCTAAAATAGTAAGAAACAGAAATAGGTTATGCATTATTCTTATTCTGTGGTTGTTCTCATTATAAAAATAAAATTAATTACAGAGTGTTATAGAACTACCACACGCAGTCTGAAGAAAAATGTATGGTTCTTTGCCAAAATTTTGCTAAGTGTAACTTCCCACAGACTTGGAGTGGACTTTTTACAGAGAATTGTAGGGCTTGTCCCTGTACCAATCTTGCATAACAATGTGTGACATGCTCCAGCAGAGATTCCCAGTTATAAACTATCCCGACTTTCTTTTCTTTTCTTTTTGGCACTGGGGACTGAATCCAGGGGCTCTCAACTACCGAACCATATCCCTAGCCTTTCTATTTTGAAACAGGGTCTCACTAAATTGCTGAGTATCACTAAGTTGCTGAGTCTGGCTTTGAACTCACAATCCTCCTGCCTCAGCCTCCCGAGTCACCAGGATTACAGGCATGTGCCACAGTAGGTACCCCTAGCTTCCTGGAATTTAAGATATCCTAAAATGGAATGCTGTGAGGCTGGCAATGATCTCCTTCAGAAATTTCAGTTTAACCAAATGGATGCAACTGGTTTGTGAAGTATTGTCTTACACTGCAACAGAGAACTACAAAAAATCATAAGTCTAGTTAAGAGGAGCAGTGATGGCTTAGGCACTCAAATGGGATATTTAAAAGACCATCCTCTATCCTAACATCTGTACTGGAACGTGAAGCTGGAATTCCTATATCCTCTCTCCTTGATTTACTGGTTTATATTATTTACACATATGGCTGTCTTTTCTACAAGGTTAAATTTTAAAAGTAAACATGAAGCACATACAAAGTACAGATACAAAAAATGTCATAAGGATAAACTGATAAATGGAGGAAATGTGTGGTTGAAGTGGCAAGAAATGTCTCAGGTAATAAGGAAAGGGGAGAAGATAAACAGGTACAGGGCAGGCTACAAGGAATAGGAAATGCAGGGGGCCAACAGGGCATTCAAGGGCAGATGACTGAGTCAAAGCTGGGAGAACAAGTATATGTAGTGAAGTACATGTGATATGATAGAGTACTGCTTTTCAAAACTGATTTTTTTTTTTTAAACCAGAGAAAGCTATTCTATTATTCTATTCTACTTTGGACTAGGATTGAACCCTGGGAAACTATCACTGAGGCACATCCCTGGACCTTTCTATTATTTTATTTTAAAAAAGGATCTCGCTAAATTGTCATGGCTGGCCTCAAATTTGGGATCCTCCAGTCTCAACCTTTCAAGAAAGTTTTATTTAAAAAGAAGCTGGTGATGCTAGTTAAGGGGAGAGCAGCAGGGCTCACTGGAGGGCTGCAGCAGGGGGCACCACATGCATATCTGTGCTGCAGTAAGTTCACAGAGATGAAAAGCAAATTAAGAGAAAGATTAAGGAGTACTACTGGATAGAATCTGCTGAGTGGGTGAATATAGGGTAGAGAAGGTAGTTTCTGGCTTGAGCAACCAGGCAGATGATGTTGCTGTCTGACAAACAAATATGGCAAGAAGTATATGTCTGGTGAAGTGAGAAGACAAAAGCTGACCCTGTGCTTAAGTTTGTGGGTCACCAAGAGGTGTGTGTCTCATCAGAGGTTGGTTATCTGGATCCAGAATCCATAAGAATATAGCTCTGGATCCAGATAATCATTGGAATAATAAGAACATAGTTTTAAAAAAATAAATAAATTACCCTTTTGAAGTAATTTGGCAATTTCCATCGAAATTTTGACTTAGCAACTAACCATACTTCTAGGAATTTACTTAATGATAATATTAACACAGTTGCACAAAAATCAATATAAACATTCTGTGCCCCATTCTTTGTAGTGAAAAAACTGGAAGCAAACTAGTTGCTTATATCTTTATAAGTGGCTTTCAACTAGAAGCAATTGTGCATACACATACACACACACACCCTGCCCCAGGGTGGGGATGCCTGGAAACAGTTTTGTCACAAGTGGAGGAAGAGGTGCTAGTGGCATCTGAAAGACAGAGGTTAGGAAACATCCTGCAATGAACAGGACAGTTCCACAACAAAGACTTATCCAGTATAAAATGTCAACAGTTCTGAGGACAAAGATTCCTGATCTATATGATAATATGCAAGTATTCCAAATGTACTGACACTGGAAGATGTCTAAAACATATTAAGTACAAAAGGCAAGCAGCAGAACAGAGGTATCTAGGGTCTAGTCTTTTAAAATACAGTAAGAGATATGTTTGCATATTTATAGAAATTAATCTGGAAGGCTACATACTAAATTGTTTATCCTTAGGGGATGGCATTATAGCCCAGTTTCACTTTGTTTTATATTGTAACAGAGTCTGATTTTAACAAAACAAGCTTGATTTATATTAACCAGGTATAGCGATACATGCCTATAATCCCAGCAACTTGGGAGTCTGAGGCAGGAGGATCTCAAGTTCAAAGCCAGCCTGAGCAATTTAGCAAGACCTTGCCTCAAAATCGAATCAAATAAAGACTAAGGATATGGTTCAGTAGTTAAGCGCCCCTGGGTTCAATTCCCAGTACCCTCCCCACAAAATTCATTAAAAATAAATATTCTGTAGATACATATTTGCTAACACGATAAGATGGTCAAAATATTTAGCAGAAAGAAAAACAAGATAATAGTTCACACAGTACATTCTATTTATTTGTTTCTTTTTAAATAGACACTTTAATTTGTTGGATTGTTTATTTAATGGTACTGGGAATTGAATCCAGGAGAGCTCTATCACTGAGTTATATACCAGCTTCTTCTTTATTTTGAAACAGGGTCTCCTTAAGTTTCTCAGGATTTTCTTGCCTCAGCCTCCCTTTTTCCGAATACTGCTTTTTCAGAAAAGCAATATTTTAAAATACATATATGTATGCATAGAAATAGAATATTTATACATCTTTTTTGTGAGGTGGGGTATTGGAGATTTAACTCAAGGGTACTTTACCACTGAGTCACACTCCCAGCCCTTTTTGTTTTTTTAAGACAAGTTTCACTAAATTGCTTAGGGCCTCACTAAATTGCTGAGGTTGGCCTCCAACTTGCAATCCTCTTGCCTCAGCCACCTCTCTCTTTTTTTTTTTTTTTTTTTTTTTTGGGGGGGGGTGCCAGTATCAGGGATTGAACTCAGAGATATTCAACCACTGAGCCACATCCCCACCCTTTTTTGTATTTTATTTAGAGACAGGGTCTCACTGAGTTGCTTAGTACCTCACTTTTGCTGAGGCTGGCCTTGAACTCGTGATCCCCTGAGCCATGGGGATTACAGACATGCCCCACTGCACCCGGCTACCTCAGCCTCTTGAGTTACTGGGGTTACTGGTGTGTGCCACCACACCTCACTTACACACCTTTTTTTTTTTTTTTTTTAATTGCTTTTGTTTGAAGCGCTGAGGATTGAATCTAGGGCCTTGTACATGCTAGGCAAATGTTCTACCACTGAGCAACACCCCCAGTTTTATGTCAATATATTAACACTATGGCTTGCAAGATTATGAATTGGTTGTAGCATTTTTCTTTTTTCTATATTTTCTAATTTTTCTACAATAAACATTTATTATTTCAAAAACAATACGTATGCTTAAATTTCAGTCCTACTTACTGAATTGTACAAATTTAATCACAATGGTTCTTCATCTCTTTTTGTCTAGTGAAACATTAAAAAAAATAAAATAAAAACCTTTACAAATTAGTCAACTTCAGAGTTTTGTAATCCCAAAACAATATACACAATGAACAAAGGGACAGGAACCTACTACCAAGGAAGCCTTCATTAGAAACAGGAAATTATGTCTCTTATTGTAAAAGAAATAATGGACCATTCTCCTCTTCCATTCCTCACTAAAAAGCTCTTCAGCCTTCTCTCTCCTTATCTCCCCCTCTGCTCCCTGGGGGCATAAAGACCACTTCTTGTAGCTCAGAACACATAGTTCTGAACACATGAAAGGCCTTTAAAAAGCATTCTTCGGTGCTTATAGTCTCTATCATTCACTGTCAATAAATGGTCATGAAACAAACTATTAGATTTGGCAGCTGGGATATCCATCAACCAATCATTTCAGGTTTTGAAAGGGGTCAATCAAGAAGGTCTAATTCAGCCATCCCAATTAGATCTGTTACATTCATAAAACAGCAAAGGAATTAAAAAGACCTAGGAACAACAGAGCAGCACTGAGAATGGAAGGACTATGAATGTTTGGCCATTCAGTAACCTAAAGATGCCCCTCTCTTTCCTGACCATAGACCCTGCTCAAAAGTCACCTCCATTGTGAGCTTTCCACTGTTTTTTTAGTTACTCCTCCTAGCCCTCTTACAACTCTGAGCATATTTCTGTGATAGCACTTAGCTATCTGGTATTTTAATTATTTGTTTACACCTCTATCTCCCTACTAGACTATGCACTTGAGGGCAGAGATTGTGTCTTGTTTATCACTATAGCCTGCCCACAGTCTGGCACAATAGACATTTGTTAAAAGCGTGGCTGAATGAATTAGTAAAATGGAGGCAGTAAGAGAACAATAAATCAAAGATGTGTGTACTTGGGCAGAAAATTAAAATGGGAGAAATAGAGGTCTTCAGCAGAAGGTGAAAGACCCAAGGAAAAGAATTTAGTGAGCTAGAAGTTTACTGAAACTTAGGACATCTACCTTGACAAAAGACCTTCAAGATGATCAGAAAAGCAATACTTTGACTGCTAGAAGAGAGGAATAGTATATAAATCACAGGGCACTGAAAGGCAGAAAACCTCCAAATCCAGATATAGCCCCTCAGCTAGACCAGACATAAGATTTCAGTGAGAATTTGTCATTCCACATTTCTCCCATCCCCCCCCCACTCCCCCGACCCCTTTTTTTGGTGCTGTGGATTGAACCAAATAACATTGTGCATATTAGGCAAGCACTTTACCCCTGAGCTACAGCCCCAGCCTTTAATTTCAATTTTTATTTTGAGACAGGGTCTGGCTAAGTTGCCCAGGTTGGC